ATTTGCTTTGAATTACGACTTAAAATAAAATTTTTTATCATAATATACTTTTTTCTTCTATATGTTGTTTTATTTTTGGACACTAAAATATTTCATTTTTTTCTCGATTCTTTTTTTACGTATCATGGTAAAAAAAATGTTATTTCTATTATAAGCAATTTGTTATTAAAGACCAAAATTATATAACGAAACGAAAAAGAAGTGATAGGGACAAGAAGAAAAAAGGTACTTAGAAAATCGCTAGTAAAAATAAAAATACATTACAGACCACTTAAATATTTTTGTTAAACATGTCGAAAATGATACATCATATTATACATGAAATTATCATCTATGATCACTTGAGACTCAGAAAAAATATAGAAGTACGCGTTTTACTTAATTATTATTTGAATAATTAATTTTTTAGTTTCAACAGAGTTTAAAAATATATGTGGTTTATAGTAATTGAATTAAACATGATAATATAAAAGTTATCATTTCTGAAATATCTTCAGATGGTGTCCCTATTAATGCTGTGTTCTCACAGCTAACTAATTCCTGACAACACCGGTGCTAAAATGTCAATAAATTGCTCCCTAAAGTGGTTCTTTTCGAGAACAACCCCTACTTTGGACTTGACAAAAAAAAAGAAGTAATTATTAAATCATACATTTTTGCTTTTTCATCATTATAATTTGATATTGGTATAATTTATTTATTTGCGTTAAACTGTAGAAGAAAATACATAAATGTTTTAAAAATATCTATCTCAAAAACACTTAAAAAGTAAATCATAAAAAAAGTAGTAAATATATTTATACAAGCATTCCGTTAGTTGATTATATATATATATATATATATATATAATATAAATGTGTATTTTGTTGTTAAACCACAAACCATATTTATTTAATATTTCACCATATTTTAATATATCTGAATTCCTAGATAGAATTTGATTGCGCCACAAGTGTTACTTTATTTTATTCACTTATTACTTTTATTTTATCACTTTATTCACTTATTTTGTAATATCTCTCTCTCTCTCTCTCTCTCATTAATTTGTTATTTATAATTAAAAATTAATCAGGAGAATATAATAAGAATTATGAAAAACAGTATTTATTCTTCTATTGAAATTAAATGTATGTCGTTAATAAATCATAATTATAAACATAATTTCATTAAATAGCTGGTAAATGCTGGTATACGCACTACGGACCAATCGGAATGACATCACTCGAGATGCTCGATATTCTAAATATGTTTCGTTTCGTCTTTAATAATAAAGTTTATTATAGATGCATAAATTATGTAAGTGCCCACGTGAAAATTCAAATAAATGTCAGAATTTCAATATCGTCAAATAGCATTGTTTCAAAAGTCACACATCCTTTGGCACAATAATCTAATCTAAGATAATATGATTGCATGTAAGCATTTTTTGGAAAACAGTTGTTTCTAAACGTGTTTATGTGCAATAAAAACAACACATTTTAGTAAAATGCATATTTTATTTTTGATCTCACCACACTGTCAATTCCCCCTTCGTCCTTTCCTTAATATTTAATTTAATTTTATAACCTTAAAAAGTTGAAACATTAAAAAACTATTATTATATTGTATAACTTTATTTTTATCAAAAGCCATACAAATACTCAGGTAGGTTATTTATTTAGTTTTCATTTAATATGTAATCTAATATTGTAATTATTATCAAAAACGTCCATGAATATACAATAATAACCGTATAAAAAAAACGTGTAAATAACTAGCTGTTAACTAGTTAGTCTATAAAATTCCTAAATATGCTCGTTAATTTAGTTTTATATGTATGTGTGCGTATATATATATATATATATATATTACTTGGTTTTACTAATTAAAATTTTTACACCAGTTTGGTTTTCGTAAATGTTTGTAGTTTATAATAACAATTTAATATGTGTCCAGAAAAGTTTACTAAACTCAATGACATCCCAGATGAAAATATTTGTCTTCAAAAGGCACCCAAATCCCAATTACAAGGTAATGGTCAAGGGTTTTTCAAACGCACCTTCCAACAAAAGTGCACTAAAAACAGTGTATGTATTAAAAAAAATTTAGTTTACTATAACTTTAAGTTCTACCCAAAAAGTTCGTTTACCAATTAATAAATAAAAATTATATTATAATAATATTGAGGTTATTTAAATTGTCTTGATATTTTGAATTTGTAATTTGTTTAAAATTTTAACAATTAAATAGTTTTAATAAATTGACGTAAGATAAATCAAAATAATATTTTTTATTTATGAATTTAATAATTATTTTATATACATTAATTAAATCGTTTTTATTAGTTGATAAAATATCTAGTATCTACTAGTATGTAATATAACTAGTTGAATTATGTATTTTTGGATTCATTCAATACATTAATTGAAAGTGCACGTTATTCTTTAAAATAACTACTTATTTTATACATTAACGCTAATACATATATATTGGTAATAATAAATTAGTGTTCAATGATAATTACCTGACAAAATAAATGCAATGCTATTTGATTAGTGCGTATTATATATTAATATTTGTACATTGTACATCAATAATAACATTGCTAAACTTTCAGTTTATTCAAAATTAAATAATATGTACAAATGCGTGATTGTTATAAAATTAATGTATTTAAGTTTGATTAGTTAATAGAACAAAATGCTACTATGCTGTTCTTTTACGGGACGAAATTACGTAAACACTTTTCTTCAATAAAATATTATTATATGCAATCTAGCTTTTCATAAACATCACAAGCGCTGAAAATAAAATCTAATCCATCTGTATCTATCACACTATATTTAAAACGGTATACTATATCATATAACTATGTTTGGTTAAAATGTTCAGTATCAAATTTTTTTCAATTTTTCAAATATTTGAATACTGTGGAGAAAATAAAGAAAAATATCCAATATATTTTTAATATTTGTCAATGACTAATCAATATAATACAAATTATTTAAGTTCTATAAATATCTCTCGAGGGAGAAAAATTCATCCGTGAAAGCAAACAATTCTTAACGAATAGTAACGAATTGTTTGCATATAATTCTCGATTCAAATTTTATTTTTACGTTTGTGTTTGGATAGAATAAATTGATTTAATTACTAATGCAATTTTTTTATCGTTACATAATGATAGTTAAAAAAAAAATAATAGGAAACGAACATCATAAGTTTAAGTATTAGTAACTTTCATGCATTTTTTTTCTTTACAAAGATTCACTTCAATATTTTCCGATAAAATAAAAATGATTTTAGCAACATGGTGTTTTCCTTAAATTTACCAATTGTATAGTTATTATTTTATAATATATATACGAGTATATGTTTCTAAAATATTTATTTTTTACCTTATATTCTCTGTTGGTTACAATTTTATAACGTTTATAACTTAGAAATCTATAAATTAAATTAAAAATTGGGTTTTTAAACATCTACAAATTTACATTATTCATCAGCTATTACTAAAATTATTATCTGAACTATTGTACTTAATAGTATCAATATCCATTTTGAGCCAAGAACTTTGAGAATAACTTAAATTTATATCTAATTTTGATTTAACTCTGTAAAGGTATAAATGAACTTCTATTATAAAGCCATTCACACTAATTCATACTAAAGTAGGGTTTTTAAAAATAAAGAGTGATGTATAGTCGTAAAATAAATAATTCATTATATTTCACATATAGTAATTATGTTACTTATTAAGTATAGTTATAGTTTAAACAAATTAAAACTTAATTAATCTATGAAAATATTTCAATATTTTGAAATTAGTAAGTTGTAGAAACGAGGGAATGATTTAATGTACATGTAAATTGTGTTTAATTAACTACATAAAAATAAATTAAATTGATAAAAATAACCAATTTTCAAATTTTGTAAAAAAAAAAAATAAACTATATGAAAGTGATTACACTAGAGTCAACTAATTTTATTATTTTTTTGTTATTTTAATTATGTATAAATAGTTATATATTATATTTGCGAGTTGGATTGTTGAATTGTATTTATGTTTCATGTTTAATTTCAACTCATTATAAGTTTTATACATGTATATTGTTCTAAATACATTTTTAACAATGTTATTACACAGCTTTGACATTAAAGGACCTTTTATGTTTATTTTAAACTCATTAATTTACGACAATAAAAATGATGACTACACTTAAAAAAAAAAAAAATGTAAATTTCAGTTGCATGTGCATGCTAGACACTTTAAACAATGAAAACACATAATAATTCTACATCTTGTAAAAGAATCTGCAGTTCATTTAAAAATTCAATTTTCCGCTGTAATGGCATAAAATAATTTACAAACATTTTTAAACTAACGGAACAATGAAATCATTTTTTCTATCAATTAATAATATCAAATTAAAGCTGAACGGTATTCCATCAGAACCCTAAAAGTGTTAACGTATTATTTAACTATAAAACAGTTGGTTCGAAATAAAAGTTACTACTTTTTGTAATTCGATTCAACCGTTCCACGCAATGCCGATAAGACGTACCTTGAAAACTGAAATTCGAGTAAAATGTCCGAAATAGAATAATATTTTGTAACTCGCAACGGAATAATTTTACACAGTGACACATGGTTATTTCAGAAATGCGGAACGCGTTTTGTTGGACTTCAAAACATTTTCAGAGCGTCTATATAAAGAAGAAGATTTGAACGCGTCTCGTTCTCGACGACGGTAGTATAATTTTCTAAAAATTCAATCGTGTACATCGTACACAATGCTTGTGATCGTTGCTATTGTTTTTCCCCTTTTCTTTGCGAAGTAAGTGAACACATTATAACCTTCTCGCAAGCGAGACCGTCTCACTGATCGTCGACCGTTTAGAAACACGGTATACGTGTAAAACCGATACATTTCTTACAATATTATACGTACACATATATGTATTATTTACACACACACATATATATGTATATATATATATATACATTTAGAATGACTTACCGGTCGGACTTGAGTATCTGTCGTGAGCGCGTTGGATTCGCGTGGATGCGGCGGATAGGGCGACAAACAGAATGAAGCCGCCGACAAAGACGCAGCGCAATATGTACCAAGTGCAGGGCGAAAGCGCGTCAAACCGCGTCATCGCGCGTTACCGCGAAATACGCCCCCTGACAACCTTCGGAACTTTTCTTCCCCGCGCAACCTGTTGGTGTATCGGCGCCGTGTCCACACGTACGAATATACCATAGTATGTGTATATGCATAATTTGATTTTACGTTTTTTTTTTTTTTCCACGTTTCTGTTCGTTTGTTTACCGCTCGCTATTCGTCCCGTGCAGTCGTCCGGGACAATATCGGCCGCATGTCGTCCGAAACGTACATTCTTTCTTTTTATACACACACACACACATGCGTGGTAATACTTGTGTGCGCTTATGTTTGTGCACAGTACTTAAGCTATGAAGCCGAAAGTAATACATATTTAAATATATATATATGTATATTGAACCCGGTGGGCAGTCAATGTTTTAACTAATTTATTTATTGGTACTGCCCTGTCCGCAGGATTCGCATTTCAAAACAATCCGTGTCGTCCCGAACATCCTAATTAATCCGAACTATACACGTCCCGCGTTTCAAAATATTTATTATAATTCAACACGATATTATTCATATCGAGGATAGCAGTCGGTGAATAATAAGTAAGCGAGTAATCGAATCCGATAGTTTACCTCGATCATATCATAACGAAATATTTGTTCTTTGTCAATCCGTTATAATATTTTCTTCATTTTGTTCGACTATCGTTTACTATAATCCGTGTATATATAGACAGGATGTAATTACTGTATGAAATGCGCCTCTATTGCTCACTGTATACGAATAGAGAATATTTTGAGAATTGGGATATTCTCAATATGGCATATTTCGATGCGCAGTCACCTGCGATTACTAATAATTAAGTTACCTAGATGGTTTTTTTTTTATTTCGAATTCGTTTTCATTATTACATAAAAAACTTTATGTGTACACGTTATTTGTACACGCATAATTTATATAATATGAAATAAGCCTCATAAAATATATATGCAAACATAAACCGAATATTTCGCATAGCGTGTTTATTATTATATCTTCGTTGTAAATTATATTAATTGAATTCGATCTAATGCAGTATCGCATTGCATCGCACAAATCATATCACGATCGTCTACGTACCACAAAAAACACTACTTACACGAACATATATCTTATAATATGTACACACAACATTAACACTTGATAATAATCATCGTATTTAATAATAGCACATTCAATTAGGATTATTAATTTTTTTCAAGTAGTATATTTCCTATCACTCTATCTTTCACTCTCTCTTTCTCTATCTTTCACACTCTCTAAAATAATTGTCGTTGTCATTGGCGTCGGATAATTATTATCCGACGCCAACGACAATAACGAACGATATTCAGGATGTGATTCGGGAACAACATCCCAGCTTTAATTATTATTACTTTATTATCTTTCTCTCGGTGTATAAAATATTTGATTATATTAATTTCCCGAAACTTAGTACATAAATTGATCATTCGATTTTTTTTTTTGATTAAGAAGTATAGCGATCCCGTGAACGCTATACTATACTATCCCGTATACGTTGCAGTCGTAATGAAAATTTGCATTACGAATAATTTGTTTATACCTACCATTTATAAAGCAGGTATTTTGTGCTTACTGTTATCAACCACTAAATATTTTCATCAGTAAGGTTTATATATTGATTGACTCATAGGTAAATTAATGACAGAGGAGCAGCTTTAATGAAAATAATACACAGTTGTTTTTGTATAATAGTATATTATTTCATCAGAAGTTATTTGCGATTTAAGTCTTTTATTAAATTATAAATTTCTACGTGCAACCAGTATTTAATATTACTTGTTTAAAAGAAAATTTTAAACTATTTATCCTCTGCAATTTCCTCGAACAAATCATAGTGACTTGGGTATATTTTACCAATTTTGATATGATTAACAAATAATAATATACTGTGTTAACGTTTTTCACGTACAAGGTGTAACTATTATACGATTTTTTACATTTTTCAATAATTTTATGAGAAGCTGAAAACATTCAATAAAATATATTCCCACTTCTTATATAGACTAGAATTTGTGCATAAATAAACAGTAAAAAAGTTTCATATACATAAGAAATTATTTAAATTTAAGTAAGAACCAATGCTACCTACTCGAATAGCCAAGTTTCAATTTAATAAAGAATTGACAAAAAAAAAAAAAAAACCAATGTCCATAAATGCAATACTTATCTTACAACTTAAATAGTATAGTATAAGAAAAGAACTGTAACTCTAAAATAAAATGTTCTTCTATTTTAAAGCCAATTAATAGCCAATTAGTAGAAACATTATGTTTAGAATTTTAGATTCTTTAAAACTATTACGATTTATAACAATGGAAGAACATAAAAAATATATTAATTGTCTTACTAAGTTATTTTTGTTACTAAAATTAATTAAAATAAATAAATTAATTAATTAATTAAAATAAATGATAATCAAATTCTGATTTTTTTTTCATTCATATGGTTGAGTATTATATAAGTTAAGCGTATATCAGTTAAGTATTAAAAATACTTTACGAGTAGATATTCAATGAAAAGAATGTATTTTGTGGTTATTTTTGTAAAATTTGAAGATGGTCTATTTCATAAAATTCATGATTATTAATAGGTCTTTAAATTTACATAAGAATATTATTATATAAAACAATTTGTATTTCATAACACATGTCATTGTTGAATTACTTTCAATTTTGATGAAAATGTTTTATTGTAAATTAAAACTTTGACATCAATCAAAATTTAAATTTTTTAAATTATATACCTTATCAGACTATTTTATAGCCATTTTTATATTTAAAATTTTTTACCTTTTTTTTGTATAACAATATTTAGATCAGTGCTTCTCAACCTTTTTCAGAGTGCCGCTCCCCTAAGAAGCAAAATGTTTTTCAACGCCCCTCCACCCTTCACTTCATTAAAATAAAAATAAAAATAGTAAACATGAAATGTTTGTAATTGAATAATAAATAATTTAGATATAAATGTAAATATAATAAAAATAAAATGTAAAATGTATGTTTAAATATAATTTAAAAGGATAATTTAAATATTTTGAAATGTATTGATCAGTGAAATGCTTGGTGATTCAAAGCCAATTTTTTTACGTTTAGTTCAAAATTTGTGAGATGAAGCCGTAAGTCTCCTCTTTTGACCATATCTAGTCGATTTCTTTTTTTCATTATTAGATAATAACGCACTGCCTCTGATGTATGTAGTTTATATTTTATAATCACGAAATTATTTTAGAAATCGATAAATGGAAAACAATTACAGATAAATCTTAGTACGTTGCTTTGAACAGAAAAAAGTTCACAACCCCCTAATCACGCAAAACGAGTTCACCACCCCCCAATCGTCCGAAACGAGCTCACCGCTCACTGGGGGACGATATCGGCCCCGTTGAAAAGCTCTGATTTAGAAGAAACAATATCGCAAAAATACAAAATTAAATCTTATTAAAAATAAAAACAGATATTTTTCGGATTTTGATCCTCATTCAAATAAATCATTCATCTTTAATAATGTTTTATATCTCTAGTACAGTTATATTTACGAACTTCAAATAAAGAAAAATGATTAAGCTATGTACATCTGATAATTTTAAAAATATTTATAGAATTTATTCTCACTCAGTCGTTATAAATTATGGTTGTTAAATTTAATACTTGCTTGATTTACAGATTGAGATGAAATCTTATACTGTTTAATATATTATAATCTTATAAATAATTTATAAAAATATGATCATTCGATAAAATTAACTTCTAATTGTTACATAAATTTTTGCATATTTTCACTTGTTTACTATAGGTATATAAACTATAAAATTGGTAATTTTTGACTGTATCATTAAACAAACTTATTTTAGAACATCACTTAAAGACATAAAAACATAAGGAAATTTGAGAATTAAACTATTTACCCTTAAAATATTTGTTGAAATTCTAATATAATTCATTTTACAATACATAAATCTATTTCCTCCATAAATTGTTTACTTTTTTATCTTAACTATGGAACCCTCCACCCAACATATCTGTGTATATCACAATAATAATTAATTAAGATAGTTACGTGGGTACTTTATAACAATACTTAATTTAATTTTAGAGTTAAAATATTTATAAGAATAATAAATAAAATGTTAATTTGATTATAATAATAATAGAGTTAATTATAACTATTTATTTTATAACTTAATATTTATAATTAAAACAGTAAGTACATTTTATGTGCTAGAAAATTTATTTTTGAATATTTCTTTTAAACGTATCTATGATTATTATAAGCCACCACGATAATAGCAATTGTTATAATTTATTGGATAAGTGAAATGGAATAAAATCTCTAAGTTTTCATCAATAATTTTACCTAAAATAAGACCCAAAATTCATGAAACAATTATTTTAAATAACTTTTTAGTGATTTAATATTATTATAGCATTCCTTAAATAATTTTATCTAAGTTTAATAATGGCACTAAAGCAGTGGTCTAAAATACGTGTTCCGCAATGAATATTTATTTCTTCAAAAATTTGATTTTTTTTTTTTTTTGTTTTATAAAATATTTTATATTTTAACAGTCTGGTACAAAATAATAAATGTAAATTATCAAGTATTAATCGAAAATAAAAAAAATTTATTATTATTATTAAAAAAAAAAAAATCAATATACAGTTGGTACAATGTCCATCATTTTTGTCATAATTATAATCAATAAAAGAAATACATTTTGTCTTAATTTATTTTGTTTATTTTAAATTTAATATTAAAAAGAGTAAAAAAAAAAAAAAGGTGTTTTGCCCGTAAACTTTTAATGTAAATATATATAGTTTGTCGGTAATTTGAGTTTGAGACCACTGCGCCAAAGTATAATAATTTTGTAATATAATTAACATACTTAGTTGGCATAATACATTATTATATTATATTATATACTCTTATATTGTATATAATT